ATGGGAGAGTCCGCAGCACCGTGGGAGATGGCAGAGACTCGTTCGGTGAACACAAACTCCAAGGAGAGAAGCTCTTCTTGAGGAGTTTTCCAAGAAATAAGATATAGTGTAACTTAAGCACCAACTTACTTTGCTTTTAGTTTTTATATACAAACTAGATGTAAGCTGAACAGATATATAGCTGATAATAATAAGCAGAATAGAAAAAACTCAATATACTAGTTTAAGTTTGATGGTTTACAATAGTTTAAACATTAGAAGATAAGTGAAATTACAGTGTTTAAAGCTATGGAGGGAAAAAAAACCTCAAGAAGAATGGTAGATAGAGTAATACTCTTTCCAAGCCCATAGTAAAAGAAATATCAATGTTTAGATGATTGTGACTTGCCAAAACAATGGATCTGGACTACCTGAAATAATCAAAGAAAAAGTGTTTAATGTAATGATTTCCTTTCAATTTATGAAACCTGTAATTGTTTCTTGTGCTTGGAAAATAACAATAAAAAGAAAATTAAAAAGTCACATTAAACAATGCAGAAATTACATAGTAATTACATATGGGCTTATATGCAGTAGTATAGTCCATACTCCCTATCCCTTTACTGAAGCATCTTTCTAGGGATGGGCAATTCATGCTCATTGGCATGTGGGGGCAGCCAACCATTTTGATCAGCACTCTACAATGTACCATCCCTCAACTGCAGCCAGGGGTTCAGTACTACCACCTGCTCCTAGTCATTCCTCCCAATCCTTGTCTTGTAGGTTTAGGGCTGATCTACATGTTGTCCTTTTTAATGGACCTGATTCATTTTCCCTGTAGTCACACACCAGCTGCAGGGAACTGCTTTTTTTAGATGGAACAAGGAATGCCAGATGTTCAAGCTGGATTCAGAGATCATATTGCAAATTTATGTTTCCAGCTGGCCAAGGTGTCAGACAAGGATACGTTTTATTTCCCTGTCTCTTCAATCAGTATGTAGAAGACATCATAAGGAAAGTTAGATTAGATTTAGATGAAGGTGGAGTGCAGATTGGTGGAATGAACATTAACAATTTGAGATATGTAAATGATACCACATTACTGTCAGAAAGCAGTGAAGACTTGAAGTGACCACTAATGAAGGATGAAGCAGAAAGCACCAAAGCAGGATTACAGCTGAACATCAAGAAGACAAAAGTAATGAGTACTGGAGAATCATACAACTTTAAGGCTGATGATGAAGAAGTTGAAATTGTTAAAGATTTTCTATTCCTTGGCTCCATCATCAACCAAAAGGGAGACGGCACCCAAGAAGTCAGAAGGAGATTGAGCCTGGAGAGGGCAGCCATGAAGGATCCTTTCTTAGATCAAAAGAGTCTTTCCTTTTGTTGCAGTAACAACACGCTCATTGGAGATTCCAACCTTTCTCTTAGAAGCCAGGTCTTATAAAGTTGGGGTAGCAAGCCCTTTACTCCAGAAAACCGCTTTTCGATCAGCTTGCCAATCCAGCCA